CCGCCCTATTTCCCCCCTCAGCCCCCCCTTGGAAGCCAGGCCCCCAAAAAGCCACGCTGAGAGGAAACTTTCCCACAAAAAGTTCCCTTTCCTATTAAACAGCTAGACCAAACTCTAGCCCTCCTTTTCCAGGACCTGTCCTCCCATCTCAACTTTCTGTCCAAGAGGAATTCCTAAATGACCCTTTGGAGCAGGACTGAGGGGGGTTGCAGACTGCCAGAAATAGTGCAAATTGAGTTCACTTTTAGGGTTAGTGCTAGGGAATCATGGGAATTTTTTTTTTCTCTGAGACGTTGAGCCTTCTCTGGCAGAGAGCTCTGGTGCCACAATAAAATACAGTTCCTATGATTCCCTAACCCTAACCCTAAAAGTGAACTCAATTTGCACTATTTCTGGCAGTCTGCAACCCCCCAAAGAAATAGGAGTTTAGTTTATCACAGGGGTGGGGAGTTGGGACTTTAAACCCTAATTAACCCAAGAAAAAACGCACCATTGACATAAAAACACGGTTAAAATGAGATTAACACAAGAGCCATTATCCTGTGAATAAACGGAATAACCAGGCAATAAACAACAAAAAGTCCCTTGCTGCTGTTTCTTGCTTGGTTATTCATGAGATAATGGCACTTTAATCACGTTTTGCCTCGACGACGTCATGTGAAAACCAGTAGCACGACTGCGAGATTATCGTGGGTTATTCTCAAGATAATATCACCTTGAACACAATGTGTGAAAACCATTAGCACAATTGCAGTATTATCACAGGTTACTCATGGGATAATATCACTTTGAACACAATGTGTGGAAATCATTAGCACAATTGCAAGATTATCATGGGTTATTCAACATGTGTTTTTTATTTTTATGTGATTTTCTCAGGTTAATCACTGTTTAAAGTCCCAATTTCCCCCCCCCCATGTGTTTTTAGCTTTCCTTTGGTCCTGTCCTCCATTTTACAGTTAGCCTATCTGGTCATCCTGAAAGTGACCAAATAATGTCCTAACCTCAAAGGAAGATCAGACCCCAGAAAAATGGAGGACATTCCAGAAAAATGGAAGGCATGGCCAAATCAAAGCTAAACACACTAAATACAAAGATACAGCCATGTTTGTCTGTAGAATCAATCTGTAGAGAGATCTTGTAGTGCCTTGGAGAGGAACTGAAAGAAAGAAGTTGGCAGCATGAGCTTTCCTAGACTTAAGTCTACCTCCAAATGAATCTGAAGAAGTAGACTTAAGCCTACAAATGCTCGTGCTGCCAACTATATCACACTCTTTCAGCTTCTTCGGAAGGCAATGTCAAACCTTCTCTGAACAAATCTTGCCAAAAAAAAACCCATGGTAGGGTCGCCGTGCCATGCAGTTTTTCATGCAGTTTTATGACATATACTGTATTTTATTGCATGGTTGTTTGTTGTGCGCCTTCATGGTGTTTTTTTGTTTTGTTTTGTTTTTTTGGGGTTTTTTTGCAAGATTTGTTCAGAGGAGGTTTGTCATTGCCTTCCTCTGAGGCTGAGAGAGTGTGATTTGCCCAAGACCACTCAGTGGGTTTCATTGCTGAGTGGGAGATTGAACGCTGGTCTCCAGAGTCATAGTCCAATACTTAAACTACCAGGCCAGGCTGGCTCTTTTTCTGATGAGTTTATCTTTGTTTAAATGCCTTGTTGGCTTATGATATACCTCTATAACTCTGAGCAAGACTACTGCTTAAAAGTGTGCTTTACTAGCCACAAACTCTTGACTGGATCTACATTGAAATTATTCCTTCCATTTGCCTACTGTGGTGAAATGAAGGGGAAACTCCTTTTAACATTTGCACTGTGTTCTCAAGCAGCTCATTGCCTAATATGTTGGCTGTCCTTTTCCTCTCCAAGAAACAAACACACCCCAGCTCTGGGGACAAGTCTTGTCCGCTGCTGCTGCTCTCAAAAAAACAAGAACTTTAGAAGGATCCATCCTATGCCTTTACTTGGAGCGATAACAGGCTGTCAAGTAGACACGTTTCTCAAAGGGTGGGCTTCATAGTCATGCTCAAAATGGAGGACATTTAGGAATGCCTCCTGGACAGAAGGTGGAAATGTAGGAAATGTCCTGAAAAGGGAAGATATCTGGTCACCCT